GAATGGTCTTTTCTTCTTCCTCCTTCCAAGACTTTATAACTAAGATCTCATCCTCTAATTTGGTTCTACTTATTAGAAAAGGAAAAGCAGCTTTCAGGCTTTTTCAGTTCCCAACTGGTTTTTAATTTTTTTTTTCAATGAACTGACCTACTTAAATAAATGAAAAACCAGTTACTGGTGTCAAGAGCTGTTTTTGCACTTCAATAGACTCTATATAGAATCACAAAAAATTAGGGTTTGAAGGGAACTCAGGAGGTCATCTAGTCTAATGCCCTGCTCAAAGCAAGACCATCCCCAACTAGATCATCCCAGCCAAGGCTTTGTATACTCAGGTCTTAAAAACCTCCAAGGATAGAGATTCTACAACCTCTCTGGGTAACCTGTTTAGTGCTTTACTACCCTCCTAGTGAAAGAGTTGTTCCTAACATTGAGAGGGTCCAGAGGAGGGCCACCCGCATGATCCTACAGAGAGGCTGCCTACCCGCATGATCCAGGGACAGCAGGGCATACCCTACAATGAGAGGCTACGGGACCTGAACCTGTTCAGCCTTCACAAGAGAAAACTGAGGGGGGACCTTGTGACAGTCTATAAACTCACTATGGGGGACCAGAAGGGTTTGGGGGAGACCTTGTTTCCCCTAGCGCCCCCTGGGATAACAAGGAATAATGGCCACAAGTTGTTGGAAAGTAGGTTTAGATTAGACATCCATAGGAACTACTTCACAGTTAGGGCGGCTAGGATCTGGAACCAACTTCCAAGGGAAGTGGTGCTGGCTCCTACCCTGGGGGTCTTTAAGAAGCAGCTTGATGCCTATATGGCTGGGGTCACTTGAGCCCAGTTTCCCTCCTGCCCAGGCAGGGGGTCGGACTTGAAGATCTACAAGGTCCCTTCCAACCCTACTTCTATGATTCTATGAATGCTAGACTGCAGCCAGCAAGGCCAGCCATACCTTGTCATGCATCCAAAGATGCATCTCAAGCCAGTCCAGAGAGGTGATACTCTTCCTCTATGTGGCTTTGGTCAGGCCGCAGTTGGAGTACTGAGTCCAGTACTGGGCGCTACACTTCAAAAGGGATGTGGCCAGCCTGGAGAGGGTTCATAGGAGGTCTACCTGCTTGGTGAGAGGGCAGCTGGACAGGCCCTATGAGGAGAGACTGAAGGACCTGAACCTGTTTAGTCTCAGCAAGAGGAGGCTGAGGGGGGACCTGGTGGCTGCCTACAAACTCATCAGGGGAGATCAACAGCAAATAGGTAGAGCCCTTTTCTCCCCAGCACCACCTGGGGTGACAAGGAACAGTGGTAATAAGCTGATGGAGAATAGGTTTAGGTTGGAGATCAGAAGGCAATATTTTACAGTTAGGGTTGCCAAAATCTGGAACCAACTTCCCAGGGAAGTGGTCCTCGCCCCTACCTTGGGCAAATTCAAGAGGAGGTTGCACGATCACCTGTCTGGGGTCTTGTGAACCCAGCATTCATTCCTGCCTGTGACAGGGGTCAGGCTAGATGATCTGTTCAGGTCCCTCCTGACCCTAGCTACTATGAAACTATGAAACAAACATCTTCCAGAATCTAAATCCTCTCATAAAACTAGACAAGATCCTACCACCTCTCTTTGAAGAATTTACTATGCAGGAAAAACTGCCTGTGATGGCTTCTCTGGCTGTTAGGAACACCAAAGCGAGGTGCAAACTCAAAATAAATAAATAAATAAAGTTCACTTTGTAAACTCCAGTTTCCTGAGAAGTCAATAGCAAGCAAGGCTAGCACTGGTGTAACTTCCTCTGGTCTGCCTTCCTACATAGCTAGAGGGAACTTGATCTGTTACTCAGGAGAGGACTCTGAGAGGGAAAATACCACTCACCAAAAAACATAAAATAGCTTGACCAATGTAAAAGATTAGAGAGGTTTTTAATTGCTTTCAAAGTTGATCCTCTTTCTGTCTTCCTTTAGCAATGGTGAAGAGTTTTTAGGTTGTACTCTCTGTCAGTAATAGGGATAGGTCTGCTGTTCAGTTTGATGGATATGTCCTATTTGGTACTGTTGATAATCAAGTCCTATCACACCTTAGAGGCTGGGTGAAGCAGAGGTGCTGTCACTCTAAGTGCAGGTCTGCTCTATGAAGCTATACCTCTTCTTTCAAAGTCCTGGCCTGAAAAATCCCACAGCACTCAGTTCCTCCAAGCCCAACCTACATCACATCCAGCCTCTAAACAAAACTGTTTTAGCAGCTGTGAGGCAAGAGATGCTGAAGTGACAACACTAGGCACAAGTCTACATTTTCATACCAAGCACAACTGCATAATCTGCCACCTTTCTCTGTCTGTGAGTGGCATCTAACAATGGAAGTGACAATGGTGGAAAGGAAGGCTGATTGTAGAACTTGTGACCCCTTAATTAGGGAATTTAGACCTTCAGTCAAGATCATGTGCAGCCTTAGACTTTTCATGAAGCCCTGCTGCTGCTGGATGTGCAAAGAATCTCAGCTGCAGCACAAGAAAACTTCTGACAGCAGACCACATCCAACCTCTTCCTCTTCAAGTTGGATGCAGATGACTTGTGTATGCATCAAATGATCTACTTAACTATGTAAGCTTTATGGAAGGCTCTGGTATACCTACTGGTGCATTTCAGTCTATGCAGTATATTTCCTCAGGTTAAAGCAAGTAAATGGTAATACAGATGAAAATAGTGGAGGCAGCCAAGGGCCTCTAGGGCCTGTGGTGCTAAGTGACACAAATGCTAACATAGCTAAACAAGACTACCAGTCAGATAACAATCTAGTATACTGTATATAACTCCTGATTTAGTGAAATCTCATGTAGAAAATGGGTCTGCTTTCTCACTCCAAAACTAAGCAAAACCAAACGGATAGAGCTTAGTCCACAAGAAGCAAGCAGCTATTCAGCTGGCTCATCAGTTTCAGGGAGTAGTAATCAATGGCTTGATGTCTAGTTGGTAGCTGGTATCAAGTGGAATGACCCAGTGGTCAGTTCTGGGACCAGTTTTGTTCGGTATCTTCATCAATGACCTGGAAGTTGGGACTGAGTTTACCCTCAGCAAGTTTGCAGATGATACCAAGCTGACAGGGAGGAGTAGATAGACTGGAGAGTAGGATTAGGTTCAGAGACACCTATACAAATTGGAAGATTGGACCAAAAGAAATCTGATGAGGTTCAAGAAGGACAAGTGCAAAGTCCTGCACTTGGGACAGACCAATCCCATGCACCAGAACAGGCTGGGGACCGACTGGCTGGGCTGCAGCTCTGCAGAAAATGACCTTGTGGCTTACAGTGGACAATAGACTGAATATGATCCAGCAGTATGCCCTTGTTGCCAAAAATGGCATACTGGGCTGCATTGGTAGGTGTGTTTCCAGCATGTCAAGAGAAGTGATTCTTCCCCTTTGTTCAGCACTGGTGAGGCTGCATCTGAAGTACTGTGTCCAGTTTTGGGCCCCCCACTGCAGAAAGGATGTGGACAAACTGGAGAGAGTTCAGCAGAGGGCAACGAAAATGGTGAGGGGGCAGGGGTACATGACGTATGAGGAGAGGTTGAGGGAACTGGGCTTATTTAGTCTAGAGAAGGCAACACTGAGAAAGGATTTAATAGCAGCCTTCAAGTCCCTGAACAGTGGTTACAAAGAGGATGGAGCGAGACTGTTCTCAGTGGTGGCAGATGACAGAACAAGGAGCAACGGTCTCAAGTTGCAGCAAGTGGGGTTCAAGTTGGATATTAGGAAAAAACTTTCTCGCTAGGAGGGTAGTAAAGCACTGAACAGGTTGCCCAGACAGGTGGTGGAAGCTCCATCCTAGGAGGTTTTTAAGACCCGGCTAAACAAACCGTTGGCTGGGATGATCTAGCTGGGGAGCAGCGGGTTGAACTACATGACCCCCTGAGGTCCCTTCACCCTCATTTCCTATGACTCTGTGATCTATGAGTCTATTTAGCTCCAGCCCAGGCGGGGCCTGCTGGCTCTTGTAGCTTGTTCAGTAAGAGTGCCGAGTGGTAGTTGCTTCTGGGGCAAAATGCAAGCAGTGCTGTAGGCGGCACTTGCTTCTCAAGCTGTTTCCTACCAATCCACCTAGCGACAGACCATCTCATGTCTTAAAGCACAATCATAAAGAAACGGGCACTTGCTACTTCCTCCCACATAACCTTAATACCACAACAGCATCCCATCTCCAACAAAAGACATGGCCAGTGGTGCTCCCACACTGCACCAGGACACTCCTTTTCCTCTCCAGTCTTTCCCAAATGATTGGTGTCTCCTGTACTCAGGTCCCGGTGACACGTTACGTATTTTACACAACGGACTGGTGAATCGTGGGATAAATCTAGCCGGGCCGCACCTGCAAAATAAGGCAGGCCACAACCGCAAAGTGATTCTGGCTCCAGCCGGGGGTCTGTCGGCTCTTGCACTGGCCATGCAGTGACCTGGGGGACCCCGCAACCAATCTGGCCTGGCCCCGTGTGCAGTGTCACGGGGCGGTGATTAAAAATGACCATCCAGCTCAGAGAAGAGGCAAGGCCTGCAGCCGGGGGCCGGCTCCGCAGGGGGTTCTTCCCAG